AGAAAATGAGAATGTGAATAAAATTGTAGTGAAAGTTATAACTCAATTTTATAATTAGAAATTAGGAAAAAAATGTATTTGCATGTGAGTGTACCGTATGCGTATGAATTAACATTATAAGGGATATGCAATGCAATGAAGAGTCTTGTCAAAAAAAATTCTACTATTGTTGCAATCAGTAGTCAATTACTAGCATAAAAAGGATGGAAGATATTTTCGCCTAACATAAGGCTTTGAATTTTCTTTTCTTACCTTTGATTCTCATTTGTTCTCCGTCGTTCATTATGTGTACAAACAAACGTTCTCCAACTCAATAGGAGAGCAAGGAAACCAAATGAACTTTGGCTTAGCATATAATACAATATCTACAACGATGAAACCAAGTCAACTTCGTCATAGTGTTACAAAATGCAGAAAAATCTATTACTCCGCATATTAGACGAGATCACAATGTCAAGCATTAGAATCAGGACCAGCCGGTTTTGCATTGAGAAGTGGCTGGAGCGCTTTGACAACAATCGTCATGTTTGGTCTGAAGTCAGCTTCATACTGAACACAAAGCGCTGTAACAGCTGCCAACTACATAACCACATCAAATAATCAGTCACAGTCCTAAGCATTTTGGATACTACTTAGTTCAACTAATGTGAAAGAATGGAGGAGTAAAAAACCTTAGCAATAGCCTTTGGCGGATAGTCATTGTTTAGCTTAGGATCCACACATTGTTTCACTTTGTCCTCACTTAGCCTTGGAGTAGCCTAAAATAGTTTAAAAACAAAACAAGTTACCAATAGAGTAGACTATAATGGAAAAGTAAACCAATTAAGGTAATAGACATACCCAAGTTACAAGACTTTGTTGCCCTTTGGGCATCGTGTGATCTACTGGCTTTCTTCCTGTCAAGAGTTCTAAAAGCACAACGCCAAAACTGTAAACATCGCTTTTCTGGGTTATCTGCCCAGTCATGGCATACCTGAGGATGAAAGTGACCATTTTAAAAATAAAATCAGAACTTGTGGTAACATGAAATTATTTCTGAAGTGCACAAAGCATAGTGTTTCCTTTGGATGGAATGCCAAAGATTAGCCAACATGAAGCTCCAATATTTATTTGTGTTGTGTCTACATACAAATTTTTTTATTTTATTTTGCATACAAGGTTAGTAGTCTTATGTCTACTAGTTATATATAACAGTTATCAAGCCTGCTTCATGTTAATGGAAAATGGATCTCAAATTGAATGTTAAACAATGAGGAAGGTTTCTTTAAGGGCATACTCTGGAGCATGATAGCCAAATGTTCCTAAGACTCTTGTTGAATGTAGCCGAGCTGCTGTGTCAGAAGACTGATTTGTCAAGCTGAAATCAGCTATCTTGGCCTCATAGTCATTGAACAGCAAGACGTTGCTGGATCTAACATCTCGATGAACTATAGAAGGCTGAACCTTTTCATGAAGAAATTCAAGTCCTTTTGCTGCACCAAATGCAATTTTTGCTCTCTGATTCCAGCTTAAAACTGGACCAGGTTCAGCCCCTTGTACACCTTTCCTTCCTGGCAATAGCAAAAGCCTAGTTAGTGTTCAGACAAAGAACCAAGAACTATTTCTTTATTAAATAGTTTTTTATTGTTAGGCCTACCATGTAATACGTCATGCAAAGAACCAAGACTTGCATGTTGATATACCAAAATTTTGTTATCTTGCTCAAGGCAATATCCAATCAACTCCACAAAATTGTCATGCTTCAGTCTTGAAACAACTGACAACTGCACCATCCATAGTGACATAATAATGCATAGTGACAACACCATGTGCCAAAACATTGCTTCACTAAATTTACAATCTCAGATCAAAATCTCACCTGAGCCGCGAAATCAGTATCAGGTTCTTGAGAAGAACTGGTGTCCAGCTTCTTGATTGCAGCATCAGTACCATCACTCAATTTTGCATAGTAAACCCGACCATAGGAACCTTCACCAATAAAAGCTTTTGAACCGAAGTTATCTGTTAACCTATTTAACTCATTCAATGGTATAGAGGGTATCTCAATTGGCAATATTTTCTGCGGGGCACCACTCTTCGCAACATTGCCCCTTGGCTCTCCTCTATCATTGCCTGCATCAAATTATTACTCATAATCTTGCAGAGGAAAGACAATATACGGTATGTAGTGGGTCAATGATTGGATTCTAGATCATTGTAATGTATGAAAAAAAAATGAAAATTTGAAACATGTTGCCTTTTGTTAAAATGACATTTACAATTTGGTGATTTAGAATAACATAATTATATACTCATTCTCTATACTGTCCCTTTTCTCATTCTTACATATTCTCTTGTTTCTAAAATAAGGCAGCGCAACTTTCTCTTTTAAGTCATATTTTTCACAAAACCATTCCATCCAATTCTTACACGGGTTTTAAATTGTTGTGTGACAACTCAAGACTACGAAAAACAACTTCTGACAAAAAGAGCAAAAATAGTAGAGTTGATACACCAATTTTCTAGCCAAATACAAAGAAAAGGAACCACATAAGACAGTTACCTCCACCACCACCGTATGTGATACCCCCTCTAGGCGGTGCAGTGTATTGGTTTGCAGGGGGGCCGCTGCTCTCCTCCTCTGCACCTCCGCAGCACAACATACTTCAACTAGTCCTAGCTGCACTCTCAATAACCCATTCACAGTAAACGATATCCCAATGAATCACCTGAAAGTATTTCAAGGATCAAAAAATTTCCACCACAAAAAGTGTTGATGATTTAGCATTCAATTTCACTGCCACCCACAATATGTCTTTTTAATAGATAAAATGAAAATAAGGCAAAGTCCAGTCACAAAACTAACGCCTCAATTGTGAAGAATAATAGTATTCATGGCTTATTGTAAAAAAAAAAAAAAAAGGTGGACTCCGTGCTACTTCTTTCTTTAGTTTCTCCAATTAATAGACAGATAAACACACGACAAAAAGTTCATCATTTGTTCCTATAGGACCAGCAGGCAAACTAAATAGTAATATAGAGTTTATAATACCCAAAATTCTTTAAGATTTGAAAAAGCAATAAATTTCTTGTTTATGGACTTCAAGGGAATGCAGGATTATGAATGTGTTTTGGCATGGTTGCCAAGACAAAATTAACCCAGCATAGCAACATTGTTTAATGTTGCAAGGACCACAGCATTAAAAATTTAAACCGAAGTCTACAAGTAAAAGAAAATGAAGAAACATATGAAAGACATTATCGCTAACCTGTTACCGGACAAAACCACAAAGCTGAATGAGATTAATTACGTAGGACAGTGGCAGAGAGGATAAACCGAAGACGAAAAAGGATATATATATATATATATATATATATATATTATATTAAGAAGAAAATATTAATTATAAAACAACAGAAATGAAGCAGAAGGAGAAGGAGGAAGAGGAAGAATTGGGTGTGTTGGTGTAATGAAGCTGTGTTTTGGAACAAAAGCACATGTTGTTGTGTTTCCCGGGAATTTCGGTTGGGTGAATAAGGGCTTAACCGAGAAACCAGAAGTTGAGTGCGCCAACCTTGCAAGGGTTGTGTTGTGTGTACGTGCCTCCACGATGCACGTCCTTCATTCATTGCCTACTATTTTAATGCTGCCATTATCGTTGGTTGTTAATTCTCATCTCACAGCAAAACACAACGTGCAAATCAAATGTTGGTCAACTCATTTTCCCTTACATTAAATGCAAGAATTTAGCAACACCTGTCTAGATAAGATATAACTAAAAAAGAAAACCCCATTTTGTGAGTTTATCTATTTTTAAAATCTTTGCTCAATTAATAAGAACAAATTAACTTTTAAAATGTTTTTTTTATCCATACAGTCAGGAATGGGAATTTAAGTCACGAGGAAAATATATATATATTTTTTCATAACATTTTCATTCTTAAAAGTTTCATTGTTTCACTTTGAAATATTTTAAATATAATTTTTACTTTATTTTTAATAATAACTATGATATTACATTAGTAGTGCTTTTAAAGTATGTTTGATTCATTCCATCAGCGGCCATTCTTTAACCTTCATTTAAATTCAATATACGCAAATTAATATAAGCAAATTACTATTAATTTTGTTTACAGTAGCTGTCTGAATACACTATAAACTAGTATAAATTTTTTAATAAATTCTTATAAGAAAAAAAAATTAAATAGTAAAAGTAAACTTCTTCGGTAAGTTAAACTTATAATTTAGAATTAATAGTAATTTATACAATATCTTCTATCACATATTAATGACATTTTTATTATCTTTATGTTGTACGATAATTGCAAAAGGAGGACTACGTGGCATACTGTTAGTGTTTGTATATGCCTGCAATTAAATTATTATTTTTTTGTGTTCACTTTTTATCATTTTTAAAAAATATTCAATATAGTAATTTTTGTCCATGCATTTCCCACCGGCCCTATAGTCCATAATTTTCTTATAAAACCTAGATATTTGAAAATTTTATACCATAGGGCACTGTCCCATGGTGTTTATTCAAACGATTCCCATTGGCCTAATGCATTATCATTTTTTTACACTATTATTTATAACTAGAGAGAGAAATATTTTCTAAACTAGTTTTACAAAGCCACTTTTCTCGAAAGATTTTCGCCAATATATGTATGTTTTCTTTGAAGGAGGGATCTTAGGTGTTATTACACTTTATAGGTGCAAGTAACCGTAAGATGTGTTCTTTCCTTTAATTATTTCTCGTAAGATTAGTTTTCGCACCAAACAAACAAAAAATCTTTAAATGACACAACTTTTTATGCATGAATTTCACCCACATCTCATAGTATCCTCAATTTACCAATGTAAAGTTTGATTTCGAACATTCAGAAGCACGTATTTATTTTTCAATATAACAGGAAAGAAAACTGAAGGCTTTATTGAAAGAAACCCTCAAGACTAAGACACAATCTGCGTGGAAATGCAAGAGAATCTACTGAGAGATAAATAGAGCACTAGAGCTTCATTCTTAGCAGACACCAAAACCTTAAAACAATCGTTACACCTAACATTACCATATTTACATCTCTCAATCTTCTCTCCATATACGACCAGTGATTCTTAACTTCAATTCTTGTCTATCACCACCAGAAAAATAAAGGGCTAGGTTCCTCTGAATTATAAGTCCATCTTGACTATCTCGAACTTTTCTATGATCATCACGAATGCTCCTAGGAATTCCTTGCCATATAAGTTTGCGGCCATTTGCACCAACTTCCAAGCTATAGCTGAATTTCTTTGCCTCATTATCATCACCCATAAACCGTAAAAAAGCCATATAAACTGGAGCTGTGCCAAGCTGGAACGCCTCAAAGTGCAAGCAGAAATGCCTTCCAAAACTATTAAAAACCTGCAAGCAAGAACCTTCAACATGTTAAGTGGGGATTTTATATTATTAGGCATATACTATATAGAAATTAACATCGCGAGGTCACAACAAAATTTGTTAAGACATGTATTCAGACAACAAAAGGTGAATCCGTATATCAGTTTAGATTCAAAGAAATGTTTAGAAGCTAATCAAAGAGTGAGCTGCTTCTCAGAAACCAAATTTCAGCATCACTTGCTGAGAATTAAAAATAGTGAAGAAGTATATTTTAAAAATAAAGAATGTTCATGTGCCATATAAAAATTAAATGTTGCATATTAAGAGGTATGACTTGGAATTTACTGATTAAATAACAAAAATAACATGTAAAAATGCCAATCAATGAGAAATAGTTAAATAACTTACAGTTAGCATCCATGTGGCATTTTCAACTTCATGTGGATTTGCTTTAACATATCGATGATTGAAGGTGCATCCATCATGCATGTCAACCTTGTGGTCATCCTTGAGATGGGCAATGAGAGTTGGAATGTCACCCATCACAGAGCACTCAGATCCGGCATAGGGACAATTGTATGGACGAAATCCACAATTTTGCTCATGTTTAAGCTTAGTATAATATGGGAATATATCATGACAACCTAGACTCTGATATCTGCAAGGGAGCTCCAAAGATTCTGCCACTTTCTCCAACGCCAAACACCTTATGTTCTCAAGATCATGGTGACAGGTTGGGCAGAGATTATGGACTTGAATTTTACAATTGGAACATAATGTATGACCATTTGGGCACTGAAACAAACAAGTGCGGCCATAAGCGAAATATTAGAAATTTAGAAGAAAATAACAAGATAAGATAATTCAAAGTAAACATATGAAGCCAAAAAAATGATTGACTTTCAGTAGATTCTAACAGCCATCTAAGATAAACAGTCCTCTCATTAGAATAGGGAGCACAGTGCATGAGGGTTAGACGTACATTACATAGCCTTTTGTTAAAAGGTCCAACAACAACAAAATTAAATTAGCAACAGCTAAAGTCTATACAATTACTTTCTTTAAAAATGTTTTCTTACTTCTCCTTCCTACCCCGCTTGAGTTTAAATCACAATTAAAATTCACTCTCCTTAGCATAAGCCATACAAACTCTACCTTAGACTTGGGATCTCAATCAATATTTATAAATATAGGCGGCTTAGAATCAGCAAGTCTCATTCGTGACCTTCCTTTTTCAGGATGGGCAGGGTATCCAAATCAAACTCAAAATAGATAAGGTTTTTCATCTATCAGTTATTCTTTGACATACCCCAAGTCCCCAACATAGTCACGTATGTAATAAGAAAATTTTATAACAATGGATGTGAAGCAACTTTTAATGGATTAACTATCATGTAACTCACATAACAAAAATATCAAATGGATAACTATGATAATTTCATAAAAGCTCAAGGTTTCAAGATATTGAATTTGTTTATCCAGTGCTCACTATATCTATCCAGTCAGTTTCTCACTCAAGATTAATGAATAAGCTAATCCCACAACGTCCAGAAATTAATGTTACTAAAATTGTTCAACATGCACCGGCATTAAGCTGCATGGTGCAGCCTTCACAGTGAAAGATAAGTAAACAACCAATATTACTTTCCAATGCAATCATCCTGTAAGGATTATGGAGATAAAGATTACAATGCCACTATTTGTATGCAGATATCTATTTCATGTGTGCATCATGCAATACAATAGAAAAAACACACATGGAACCCCAAAATAAAAAATTGCAAGCACTGCACCTGGTGAATTGGGGGATACATTAAATTCTTGCAAACAGGGCATCCAAGTAAGTCATACACATCATTATTTGAACTAATCCCGTTCTTTCCATTCAACCCAACACTGGATTTTGCAAATGTACTGTTACTCTTGGCCTCAGATTTTGCTTTGCCTAATTCATAATCTGAAGACATCAGATGAGATTCAAGAACTTCTTTGAAAGCACTGCCTCCGGGAGCCATTGCTAACCCAGAACTACAGAATTTCTTTCCAAAGGACTAGGAACCACAGCTCTTACTTTTAAGGCATGCTACATTGTTAAATGGTAAAATGGTCAATGCATAAGAACTTAAATATTTGATGATAGTCAAATTTTGATCTTCTTTAGCACAAAGTAGGGAGCAGAAGAAAGAAACATGCAATACAAATTAATATGTGATCTTTCTTTCAGATAGAGTTCTTGTAGGATAATTTGAGAAAGTTAAGCCACGTTCGCATATAACAGTTACTAGATTAACTTAAATTTGACAGCTTAAATATTTCAAGTAAACGTCAAGCAAATAATAATTTTCTTTTAGCAGAACCAGCCAAGATTCATGAAGTCGCAAAAAGAAAATATGTTGTCTGAAACACAAAAAGAAGATCATGCTACAGTTACTCCAAAATGCAAACCAGTCAACCAAACCTTCCACTATCAAGACATGCTGACATGGACATATTACTCAATAAATGACAATTTTCTCATACTATAAAATTCAAAGATCATAAATGTAAACAATAACTTCTTCTCCCCCCCCCCGGGCCAGGAAATTCCAAACCCAAATAAAATTTCAGACATATTCCTGAGTAGGACCATCCCTCACTATTTACTAACATTTACCCTCATCTTAGTTCTTTGTTTTCTAACATTAAAGCATACAAATTCTACTTCTTAATGCCATACTGCAGTTCCAGTGCCTTAAATTTTATACAAAACTATGTCATGGCAGAGATCGTCATCCCTTATTTCTTCCCCCATTTAAAGGAAGATCAGAGAAAATTACAGATTCAAAAAAAAAATTCAGAACTTACAATTAAGAGCACAAATCTACATGTCTTTGCCAGAAAGTACTACCTTTTTCCTACTCAATCCCACCAATTAAAAACTGGAATAAACCAAAAAAATGTATTTCAAACAACAACCAATTTAACAACATAGACTAAGATTTCACTTTCTCCAACAACAACCACCACCAATGCCCATATATCCAACCATAGTCCAATAAAAAACAAGCACATGACAGGCAAATGCAGACGAATCTGAACATATACGTTCAAAACCATCACCAATCAGAGGGAGGAAACAAAAATCACAAGATTTGAAAATTTTAAAATACATAAAATAATAAACAAATAACAGATACCCAATTGAGAATTCCAAGCCTTATTTGTGTGTGTGTCACAAACAATTCGGGCACATAAGAAAACAGAACATAAAACATTAAAAAAAAAAATGAAACTAGAGACGAGAAACACATCGAACAAAGAGCTCCGGAAGTTACGGAAATTACCCCCCGCTATGAAGATTGAACAAAAAAGCGTGTCTTGTTGGTATCGATATGGATGCTGACCACCAAAGTTGTTTGTTGTTGTCCTTCTTCTGCTTCGAAATCGCAGGATTTCCTTGTATTGTGCTCTGTTTCTTTCGTTCTTTATCTCTCTTATGTTTTTCTTTTTTCTTCTATTTGTTTTTCCTTTTGAGTTCTGTGAAATAAAAAAATAATTTTGGGTCCTTCGTGTTGTCTGGTTTCGTTGGTAACGATACGTTGCCAAGACAACACGGTGGTCCAGTGGCTCTTCCCGCACGCGACGTTTAAAAAGTAAACACCTTTTTCTTTTTCATTTTTGGGTTCTTCTTTTCCTTTTATTTTCAATGTCCCTTGCCACCATTTTTCTTGCATTTTAGCGTTATTTACCATTCTAGACCAATTTGTTTTTCAAATTACCACAACCACTACTGTGGGATTATTTTTCAACATGTTTCTATTTTCATTTAATGGTATTTTATTTTTACAGTTCAAGAGTCGTGATTTTGAACAAAATTTACAGTTCTGGAGTTTGTGATGTCAAACAATGAATTGCTTTGACTTTTTAAAAAACAAAAGTCGTAATTGTGAATTATGATTTCAAAATCATGAAGCCTACTTGTGTGAAAATTTAAAAGAAGTCGTGTTTGGAAAACTGACTTTGATGATTTTGTTAGCTTCTAGTAAAGAGAAGATGTGGCGGAGAAAATGACTGGTGCAGTTAAAGTAAACTATTATTAAAATTCTACGGTGCTTTAAAGGAAAGATGTGCTTCTGATACACAATTTATCCTAATGAAAAAATCATTAAAATGTATACTAATATAGTAATTTAAAAATTAAATTGCACTATAATGATTAAAAAAAGTCATGTGAGTAGATCATCAGAGAAAATAGATAGAAAAAATGATAAAAAAAATGAGGAAGTTGTATATATACCGATATGGGTCAGATTAAATGATGTTATATTTCAATAATTTTTATGAAATAAAAAACTTATTAATCTAATCGTTTAATTTAATATTTTATAAAATATATCAAAATTATAACAATTAATAATTTAATTTATAAAATTTATTTTAAATAAAAATATTATTTTATTAAATTTAATTAGTTTCGCAACTTTCGTTTGATCACATCCCCCTCCCTCTCTTTCTCTATGTAAAAATCTAGGTGAAATCAATTAAACCAAACATTCATGATTATTCTATTTTACTTTAGTTTATTATTAATATTTTAATAAATAATATCTATATATATATATATATAATAAAAATTGGTTTTTCTTTCAATATTATTTTGATTTTTAGAAACACGCAATTAAAAAAAAATTATAAGTATACATCAACTTATTTACCCTACAAATGAATTGTTTTAGTTTTTATTTTATGTCTAGCTCAATTCAACCTGATTCATGATTAATTCTAATTATTGTTGGTTTACAAAAATTGTAGCTTTTATTTTTGTTGTTGCATCGTGCAATCTAAGGAGTTTTATGTAACTAGTGTCTTATTCTCTCTGCAACAGTTGAGAGTTTTTTCCCCAATCAAATTACATCATAAATGATAAAAGATTACAGTGTATGGTCACTTGCATCCATGTGTTGGTTTGAAAAAATGAGGAAAAAAAGAAACAAACAGATGCATAGCTTTCAACATTGTGTAAATAAAATAATTGAAACAAAAACAAGTCGGATCAACAACTTTACGCTAAGGACAATAATTGACAATTGTTTCCGAGTTGTGTAACTTACTTCAAAATAAAAGGAGTTAAACAATCTTAATTTTTTTAAAAGAAAAAAAATCTTATTTTAGATGGATCAGAGTAATTATATATATATATATATATATATATATATATATATATATATATTCAAACTAAATTTATTTCTCGTACTTTAATCAAATCTATTAAGCTTTAACGACAAGTTGAGATAAAATCTTAATTTTTAATGCGTGAGCTATAACAAAATAAGTAAATTTTAAATTTAAAAACCCTTGTTTTAATCACATTAATCTTCGTGAACTAGAGTTGTTTAGCCCCCCATTTTTTTTAGTTGTATTTGTCGCATTATTTGTCAACTAAGACGACTTTTAAAATGGAATATTTTAATGTTAATTTAATTTTGAACTTTGCTGTTTCTTCTTACTTATTTTTTCAATAATCTTCTTATCATGTTATAAAATAAGTACTATATATAATTTCTTAAAAATATATAAAATATATAATAATATTTTTATTCAATAATTATATGAAATTATTAACATAAAAAAAAGTAGAATTATTCTTTCATTTTAGATGGACCATGCCACAACCACCTTATTCTCACGAAAAGGCAAAGCCAGAGTACATTTCTTCATACATTCATGGTAATGCATTTCAATGTACGAGTCAACTGAAATTGAGTGAGCCATCATTGCAATAGTAAAGAGAGAAAAAAAAATACTAGCCCGTATTTTTTTTTACTGTAATAAATATTATTAAAATTCACACTAAGTTTATTAAAAATTACAATAAGCAAAAATTAATTAAAAATTTTAAATTATTATTTTTTATTTTTAACTGATGTTCTTAAGATACTATATATATATATATAGCTTGGATTGAATTTGCTCATATGAAATGTATAAAAAGTACTTTTTTAAAATTTTAATATATAATATTTTATTTTTTAATTAGATAAAAAATAAATATATTTGTATTTACAAAATTAAAATTTATTTATATCAAACTTTCATCCAATAATTAAAAAATATTAAATATGTCATGTGTCATTTATTTATTTAAACTAATTAGTAGCAATCTTTAGTTTAAATTGGAAATTTATGTTGTACTAACTTTTTTTTTATAATTTTATCATATCTTAAAATATATAATTACAGATAATTCAAAACTTTGTATATTTTTTAATCTATTGATAATAATTTTAAATATTAATATCTACAAAAATTAATTTTCTTTATTTTACTATGGACATACATGTTAGGAAATTTATTTATTTTATCTCATTAAAAAATAATAAAGTCATTATCAAAAGAATAATAATATAATAGTGAATTTATTTAAGTTAAATAATAACGAAGGTATTACTGGAAAATGTTTTGATCTTAGGAAGGCTAACCCAACTCCAAATGAGATAAAAAAAAGTGTGATTTTTACCTCTAAAATGGTTCTGATTACTGTGAATGAGATTGTAAGCAAATTTGAGAGAGATTTTGTCTTCATTTGAAACAACTGAGTTCATGCCAGCATTGTTCTTAGGAGGGATAATACCAGGAAAAAGGTCACAAATTTGCTGATGAATGAGAAATCTAATTTAAATACAGTCCCAAGTATCCTTAGCTAAAAATAGAGCAATGGGAGAATTTAACTGGTTAATGTAAACAGGATAATTAATATGATGAATTAGTTTACCAGTACTTGGAATTTAATTATCAAAATAGAACTTTATATTAAAGCTATCAGTGATAATCTACAACAGACCTTGAAACAATTCCTGATAGATTCTGTATGAAAAAATGTTAACTAAGTTCATTAATTACAAAAAAATAAACGTAAATAAAATCTTATGGGTCTCCCTTACGAAGAAAAAATATAGATTACACGAAGATGGGAATTGGACAGTTGCAATTGGAGCAGGTTACTGTTGAGAGGCCTATTTCAAAAATAAAGGACCTAAGAGAGCATTTCATTTCCGCGCCCACAACAAATAAAAAAAGCACTCTTTCCCCATCGTCACTCGTTCACAACCTTTTTAATTTTTAATTTTTGAAAAAGAGAAAGTTCCCAAGTGTAGGAAAAGCCTGCACAGTGGGAGTTGAGTTGCACCCACAATGGAGGAAGAAGAAGACCAACAGAAGCTTCCAGATCTGGTGAAAGAACTAGTTCACCGCTTACTCTCTCAGAACCTACCCCCAAATTCCCCACCTCCAAACCCTAACTCCCCCGAATTCCAAAACTCCCTCCGCTACGCCCTCCGCATCCTCTCCAGCCGCCTCACCCCCTCCGTCGCCCCCGACGCCGCCGCCATCGCCGACTCCATCAAGCGCCGCCTCGCTACCCAAGGCCGCTCCGCCGAAGCTCTCTCCTTCGCCGACCTATACACCAAATTCGCCTCCAAAGCCAAAAGCGTTAACAACAAATGGGCCGTTATCTACCTCCTCAAAATCATTTCCCAGGATCGCCACAACACCACCACCACCACCAACCACCACTTCCATTCCCCTCTTCTCTTGCCCAATCTCGCTTTCTCCGACACCGCCAAGGGCTGGAACAACGGTGTTTTATTGGTTTCCAAGGATCCCGAGAATCGCCGCGACATTGCGTTTCGCGAGTTCGTTAATTTGGTTAAGGAGGAGAATGAGGTCTCCGAGGAGGTTTTGGTTAGGGATGTGCTCTATGCTTGTCAAGGAGTTGACGGCAGGTATGTGAAATTTGAGAGCGGGAATAGTTGTTATGCGTTGTTGGATTCGATTAGGGTTCCTAGAGCTACTAGGAGTATGGTTCATAAGCTTTGTGAATTGGGGTCTTTATTTAAGAAGGTTACTGGGTACATATGGCAGAGTATGGATAGGTTTCCTGCGGAAGATGTGGGGACTGTGGGGCAAGCTTTTTGTTCTGCTTTGCAGGATGAGCTTAGTGAGTATTACAAGTTGTTGGCAGTGCTTGAGGCTCAGTCTTCGAACCCGATTCCTTTGGTTTCGGAATCCGCGAGTTCTGGGAATTATCTTTCCTTGAGGAGATTAGCTGTCTGGCTTGCGGAGCCGATGGTGAAGATGAGGTTGATGGCTGATTTGGTTGATAAGTGCAGGGTGTTGCATGGCGGGGCAATGGCTGGTGCGATTCATTTGCATGCTCAACATGGGGATCCGCTGGTTCATGAGTTCATGAGGAGGTTGTTGCAGCGTGTGTGTTCTTCGCTGTTTGAAATGGTCAGGAGGTGGGTATTGGAAGGGGAGTTGGAGGATATCTTTAATGAGTTTTTCATTGTCGGTCAGCCTGTGAAAGCTGAGTCTCTTTGGAGAGAAGGGTATAGGCTGCATGATGCCATGCTTCCTTTGTTCATTTCGCCTTCTCTTGCGCAGAGGATCTTGAGGACTGGCAAGTCCATTAATTTTCTGCGTGTGTGTTGCGAGGACCGCGGTTGGGCTGATGCTGCAACTGAGGCTGCAACTGATACTGGGGCAGCTGCGAGAAGAGGTGGTTTTGGATATGGTGAAACTGATACCCTTGAGTCCCTGGTGGATGAAGCTTCAAAGAGGATTGACAAGCATCTATTGGATGTGATTTTCAGGAGGTACAAGTTCAAAGAACACTGCCTAGCAATTAAGCGGTATTTGTTGCTTGGCCAAGGTGATTTTGTGCAGTATCTAATGGACATTGTTGGGCCTGAACTTTCTGAGCCAGCTAATACTATAAGCTCCTTCAAACTTTCGGGATTGCTGGAAACTGCAATAAGGGCATCCAATGCTCAGTATGATGATCCTGACATTTTGGATAGGCTCAGGGTTAAAATGATGCCGCATGAAAGTGGTGATAGGGGTTGGGATGTATTTTCACTGGAATATGATGCAAGAGTTCCACTGGATACTGTGTTCACGGAGTCTGTGATGGCAAGGTATTTGAGAATTTTTAACTTTCTGTGGAAGCTTAGAAGAGTGGAACATGCGCTTACCGGTGCCTGGAAGACCATGAAACCAAATTGCATTACTTCTAATTCCTTTACCAGATTGCAACATGCAGTAAAGATGCAGTTAGTTTCAACATTGAGGCGCTGCCAGGTTCTTTGGGTTGAAATTAATCACTTCATTTCCAACTTGCAATATTATATAATGTTTGAAGTCTTGGAGATATCATGGTCAAACTTTTTAAGTGAGATGGAAGTAGCCAAGGATCTTGATGATCTACTTGCAGCTCATGAGAAATATCTGCATTCCATTGTGGAGAAGTCTCTCCTGGGAGAGCTATCCCAGTCCCTTTATAAGTCACTATTTGTAATTTTTGATCTTATATTACGTTTTCGGAGCCGCGCAGATCGGCTGTATGAAGGTATTCATGAGTTGCAAGCAAGGTATTGATCTTACTTTTTCATCCATACACCTACCCCCACCTATCCAACCCCTCTACCCCAACAACAAAACAATAGTGCCATGTTTGACATTTGGTTGTGTGTTTGTTTCAGAATCACAGAATCCTCCCAATCCTCTCGAGACCAGAATAAATCACGAAAGCAAGTGAATGATAAGTCTGTAGAACAAGGATCCTGGATTGCTGAGGGGAGGAAAGCCCTAACACAACGAGCTGGGGAATTTCTTCGAAATATGGGACAAGATCTGGATGCAATTGCAAAGGAGTATTCATCGTTGCAAGAGGATTTCATTTCTCAGTTGCCTGTACAGCAACATGTTGATCTGAAGTTTCTCTTTTTCCGTCTTGACTTCAACGAATTTTATAGGCGGTTGTGTCCTAGCGTATAGGAAATTTGTGAATAAGGCTGAGGATCCGGTTGAAGCACTGTCTTTACTAGAAGACAAGGCATTAAAAGCTTTGCAACTAGCTAACTTCCATTGTGTGTTTGAGTGGAACTATTCTATTGGTGCTAACTTCCTTTGGACCAACCATTCCATGGGTCATTAGTTGACTATAGGTATGTTGGATATCTTGACTTTCTCAATTTCTTTTACCTTGTGTTTCCTATGAAGAATGTTACCTTCTTCTCTCCAGGTCACTTTTTTTATTTGCAAGGTTGTTTGTGCGGATGTGAAGCTATTGATATTCAATTGGATGCACGGTGTGAGTAGTACACACGTAAGTATCTGAATATCTAATGACCTAGTGTTTTCAGCAGGCAACTTCTGCAAGCTGTGCTTTAGGAGATTGTTCATCTGTATCCTAGATTTTGTATTGGTTGAATGAAAATGGGTGTCTGAAAATCTAGTTTCTTCATTCCTGTGTATTTCTTCTGGTTTACTATCTCTTCCCACTCCGCAGATTGCTTGAATTTTTGCTTTGTGGCAGTAAAAGTAAAGCCACTGGCAAATCAAGTATCAAGATGCTTGCCATGCAATTCAATTAATTTTATATACACATCTAAGGTAATGAAGGAGCTTTTTTTTTTTATTATTATTATTTTATATTAGCTCAGGCTTTAGTATTGAAGAGTGAGGCCTTATTTTGTTTTTTTTTAATGGTAGCTACACATAAATGATAGAGCTTGTTACTTGAGTAATTGCTTGACACATGCTTAAGTATTAACAGAAGTCATATTTCAACTTGGAAAACTGGGTGATGTAAAGTTTGTTACTTTTCTTTTAGCAGCATTATGGAGATTTATAACATATCAGTATTTGTTAGAATTGTTGAATGTTTAGTGGGAAATAATTACCACTTTGGCTGAAAATGGAGTGGTACAAGCAACTTTAGGCATTTTGGAATGTCATGAGGAAGGTACATTATATGAGGGAATTAATTATTTTGTAGAGCTTTGGGAATAGAGGCATGTGATGCAAAATAATAGTATTCTTGAGCCACTGAACGTTTTCTTTTTCGGTATCATTAAGCCACTGATTGCTACAAAAATAATAACAACAACCAATTCTTATCTTACTAAGTGACATCAGCTACATGGATCACATGATGTCATTATACCACTCATTGTTAACTCAAAAAATTATTTTGCAAGATATTCTTTCTAACTTGTTCTAGTCCAGAAAGATAATACTAAAAATCCAGTTAAAGCAATTGACTAGTTGATAAGATTTTGGAGGAATCTGATGAAATTTTACTACCAATGCTGTTATTGTTATTTTTTTTTTGGTAAAAGTAAATGTTTTTTTTCTTGAAATCTGAGCTCAATATTTTACATCTGCGCTAAATGTGGTATAGTTTAAATTCTTAACTAAGGTTCAATCTAGCTTGTGTAATTTGTGTTTCAGATATTTTAGTTTCTAATTCTGTCCTGTTTTAGAAAGATAGGGTTGGGACAATTCTTTTTTCCCCCTCTAGCAGTAAGTTTGTTGTTCGAACTTCGGTGAGACCTAGGATCAACTTGGTTATGGTATGCACTACCTAATGCCGGTCATCATTGTGTAAGGATTGACAACTGGCTCTTTTGTTGGTTCAATAAGTAATCTGATTACTTGAGGTGTCTAGAGAGATGTTGTGAAAGGCCTTAAAGAAGAAAGGTGTGTGTATTACATATACTTGAGCATCAAGGATATGTAAAAGCCTATGAAGAAAGGTAGGGTTATAGCAGATTTTCTAATAACTATAGGACCATATCAGGAGTAAACTATGAGCCCCTGTCGTTTTGCGTTGGTCTTGGAAGTGTTTACTAAGCATATCCAAGAGGCTGTGCTGCAATGCATACATTTTGTGGAAGATATAATTCTAGTTGGAGAGTCAAGAGAGTAAATAAATATGAAGTTAGAGATGTGGAGAGAAGATATGGAGGCAAATGTCTTTCATAGTTCATTTGAGTAGAATACAGGTGAACTATATAAAGTATTAAAGTATAAGTTTAGCAATAAGTACATCAATCCTAGTTTAGAGGTAAAAATTGGAGACCATACTGTACAAGTTATGCAATTTAAGTATCTTGGGTTTATCATACAAAATGACCGAAAAATTAAACGGGATGTACATATTTCGATCATTGTTGTTGACCACAATAAAATATTATGGTATTATTAGTAAAATTGTCATTCATATCTGCATTAATATCTACATGTATTTTTTATTTTAAAATTCAATAAATTTGAAATAAATTTTATAGACAATGTTTTATTGTGCCGCTGTAATGTGCACTAAAACGGTAGGGAAAGAATAATCCTTTTATAAAACGAAAACTAAGCTAGAAAATTTGTACAGATAAGCAAAGATGGCTAAGGAGCTAAGCAAAGAATAATCCTTTATTTTTTTTTACAGAAAGAAGAGGTAAAAGTGATACACACGGAATTGATTTTGTTTCATCCAAATATTTTTTACTATGACGGAAAAGAACAAGTGAGTAAATGGCCCGTAAAGTATGTTTAGAGAAATTGAGTATGTTTGATTTTTATTTTAAAAACAGTTCTGTTTTTGTTTCTCTCATTATCCTCCTCAATCAAAATGAGGACTCTTTTTCTCAAGCTTTTCATTGCTTTAATAAACAGCCATACATGTTATCATCTTTTTATAAAACTAATTACTCCCGAAGAACATTAATTTTGGTCCGGTCTTAGTCTAGCTTAAGAAGAATTCCTTACTGAGCTTGCAAACATACTTCCAAGTCAAAGGGGAGGCCAGGCTCACCCTCGCCCCCTCTTGGATCTGTCCCTAGTATTGGTTCAAGTAGAAGGGATTTAGACTTGTTAAACATGAGGTCCCAAGTATGGTCTCTAGACACAGATAAGGGTTTTCTCAAGTGACATTTGCAGGACTTCATCATTTATCCTCCTTTAAGAGCGCAGTCGACTTTTACATAATATCGTTTAGAATCAATTTACGTTTAGTTTAAAAATTTTTAAATAGCAACTTACCATAAATTGAGTTTTCCTTAATAAAACAGCTGCAAACGCATTGGCTGATAAAAGTACAAAGTTCATAGGACATTTTAATCTTTTTCCAAGGTGAATATACATTGGATATTTACGTAATCTGCTAATTGACATCAAACAAATTCACTGTAAGGGCGGCCTGAGAGTGTTTTTGGGAGCACTAATCCAAGGGGAACCTGCAATTGCAAATCTCCACAATGCATTTGCATGTTCTGGCAAAGCGTATTGAATGCCTACTCTTGGACCTACCAATATGTTTTCTGGCTCTGGACCATCTAAGAGTTCCAATCCACCTGCATCATTTTCAAAAACCACTGATACATATATTTTCAATTTTACATTTGGAACGCATGAATTATAAGCTTACCAGGTGTATAGAGAGGATGGTTGGACCATTCTGTCGAAAGACCCAGTGCCTGACCGACCTATGATTTGGGAGAACACTCAGTTTAATATATTTCAAATAATTTGGAGTAACACACGCTACATGACATGATTTATGACAGAATATAATTGTATCGTTTAATCATGTAAACGACTTATTAACTATTGAAACAAAAAAGGCTTGGTTGGTGAATATTTTAGATATGCTAAGCAGGGACATTTGAGAAGGAAAAAAATATCATCACCAATAATCTAAATTCTTAAGAAAAAGCATGGAAAATGGTCAAAAAGAGGATGAAAACTGAATAAACAAACCGTTTTCCTCCTATCCTTCTATCATCTTTAATCTTTTCCTTCTAGCAAGATCGTCGGTAATGATTATGATCATAGCAAATAGTAGTTGTGTTATACCAGAATTATGTTTTACAAATGATGCAACCTTTATAAAATCACCACATGTGAGATATTATACATAGACGCTTCTAGGTTCTAAATGTTAATCTACAAACACTTAAAAAGGAGGATAAGCACAAACTTTGAAAACTTAAAAGAGAATGAACCTTTTTCAGAAATAACCAAAAGTATTGCTATACAGTCTATACTTAATATAGTGGACAATAAGTTATTTGACAGTTCACAAGCGTGTAAAATCATAATGAGGGTATGACATCACAAGTATTTATAGTGACAGAGAAAGAAGGGAAATGATATCACACAGCACACACAGAAACTAACAATGTAGCAGAAATAACAGACATACAGTTATACTAACTAAATCAAAATATGTTCAACTGCCTAACTAATTGATTAATGTAGCATGCTGATTCATGGACGGAGTGCAGCACGCTCAATCTCTATTCCAAGAAAGAGGCAAGTCTGTAATTGTAGTTAAATTTGTATTTTATGAACAAAACAAGTGACTAATTGACAGTTGATGGTAAAGCACTAAAATGAAAATAACTTAGACTAGACAAGTCAAATAGAAGTGTCAAACTTAAACCAAAATATTTTCCTCAAAAGCATCTCAAACAGATGAAACGGAGCAAGCAAAAAAAAAAAAAAAAAGGAACGAACCTTCCCTGGACCAGTAAGAAGGACAGGTTTCTCAGTTTTCAGACCTCGGCGCTGTTGAATGACTTCCAATCCTGCGATATTGTTGGATATTACAAAAAAAATCTATTTTATCCAATGTTTCCTTATAATGTGTACTAGTAAAGAGATTGTATGTAGTCTTTCGGCAACATTTAATTGAACCATTCCTGACTCAGAAGAAACAAAGAACAATGTTATTATAACTTGTAACAGAAATGCCGGACTTGCATTGAAAGCCTCACCTTTCCTATCAGATAGTCAGATTCCTGCTATGGTTTAGTGATAAGAGCAATGGTTGCACATACATTTTATTCACACACTTCTATTGATAGCCACTATATGACACTCCAAAATGGACTAGTTTGTACACAGACAAAACAAGCTAAAATTCACAAGCTCATTACTTAATCAACAAGATCATTGCTTAATCATTCCTTTTCCCTTTTAAGAGAGACATAAATAATAATGTATTGATTTTAGGAAGTCACTTGAATAACCCAGAATACCTTATCATTTATCCCTCCGTTCATGCATAAGCTGAATCAGTAACACAAAAAGCATAACCTGATCTATCAGGTCAATTGTTCTTCAGATTAAAAGTAAGCAAGCGAGAAAACCCACAAGCACGCAGAGTGATGAAGATCAGGTATGACACAACAAGTAACAGAATATCTAAACTTAACAGTAACTATGAATGAGCTAAATAACTCCAATAGTATAGAGCATTACCACTAATGGGAGCACAAGAACGTATCAAAACAGCAGCTCCAGCACCTTCCTTGTCAGCAACAACATTGAGCATCATGTGAAGACCATAGCAAAGATAAACATACGCATGCCCGCCAGGTCCAAACTTTAGAACAGGAACACACATAACATAACAATGTTACTCTAGAGTCTAGACAACCTTAATTAGCATTTAGAGATACAACATGAACAAAGATTATGCATATAGCATCTTACAACAGGGGCAGTTCTTGAAGTAACACCAAAACGACCGTGACAAGCCGAGTCATTTGGTCTATAAGCTTCCACCTGTCTGATATATATTACACGTTAAATCACAAAGAAGAGTTGGTGAAGGGCAAGAAGTGCACATTAGTACGTACCTCAGTGATCTGAAGAACGACGTCGTCTCTACGAAGAAACTTTCCAAGCAAGCGAGGGGCAAGGTCCAGCGCATCGATTTGAAAGAAATCGCGGGGCAAAGTTTTCGTTTTTTCGGAAGAAATGTGTGATTCTGGGGTTGGGCTGGGTTTGGCTCTGAGCGAACGCCGAGTTTTCTGAAGCGGTGATCTGGGTTTGGAGACTCGTTTGAAACGGTGCGTTGGGTTCATTGTGGTGCCGCGATAACAGAAGGAAGCAAATGGGTCAATGGTTGAGTTCTGCTCCAATGCGGTTTTGGTGGGGATGAAGTGAGAGGAAGACATGGCGCGTAGTTTTGCATATATACAGATGCCACTGCCACGCTCTTTTGCCTTCTGATCTTCTCCAAAAGTTTACCTCCCCAAGCGAAACTTCTCTGAAAGTTAAAAAAGATTGATTTTGCCTAAATTTATTAAAACTTGATAAATAATTGAACAAGTCTTATTTGGGGCTGATTTAACTAAATAAAAATGTTCTAAAATTAATTACTAAAATAATGTAACATGGAAATTATTTATTAAAATAAATAGTTTGAATGATTCGACTTTCGAGTGCCAAGGAACTATCATTTTTGTTTGTGATTTTTAAGATTTGTCAGAATATAAATATATACAATTGTTAAACAATTTAGTTTCAGAAACACAAAGGTGAAGTATTGTATTTGAAGTGTTGATCTGACAAGTTAAATATCAAATGAAATGCACTTGTGATAAAAATGTTGAGGGATATGATAATATACTGCTTTTTGAATTCCTTCAATTTAAATTTTAGAACCCTAAAATGAAAACTTCAATTTCACTTCAAAGATAACATTTACGCTTTTTGTTCCCACTCTTGTAGATGGTCCTCATCTTTTTCTTTATTCTTCTTTTTTTTTTTCTTTTTAAAACTTGCAACATGTATGAAATGGTGGGTGAGGAGAATAGATGCATAATTTTGCAACCTTCAAATGATGTTGTCAGTAGGGGTGGGCAACATTCACTCATCCCCATGAAATCAAGTCGATCGAAGGAGTAAAAAGCTACGATGAGTAGGTTGGATGGGTTCTCAGGTTTTATAAATAAATAAAAAAAATTGGTTTAAAAAAATAAATTCAAGGGGATGCGAATTTAAAAAAATTTTCTATCTAATCGAAAGAAGACAGACATGTATATAATATGCATGTGTATCTCAGTGACTCAGCCAATTTATTTATATAAATTTGAAATTTTAAAAATAAAACCTAGTAACTAGTGGTAAATATTAAAGTTAGTGTTCAATTACTTGTTCTAATTACTCATTTCATGTTTATCACCTCTTATCTTTTCTCATAGCATTTTTTTATTATTTTATTAACCGCAATTTTAAAGGTTAAATATATACATCTATAAATAAAAAAATATATAATTATTATATTAAAATTATAAAAATATAATAATTATTTTTTTAATAAAATTTTACTATTATTAACTACTTATCTTCTAAATCATTAAACATAAATTTTTTTTTCTTGCTTCCGTCTATTTGCTTTCTTTTTCCAATTCTAATCCTCTACACCAGCCACTGCGATGCGAGACCAACCCACTCCCAATTTCCGATTGAACAAGTTCAACGGTGCCGTTGTCGCTGCTAAGAGTTCAAGTCCTTAATTGTAGTTGCGTTGAATAGTAATTTTATAAGAACTGGTGAAACTATGATGTTTTTGCACTCGTCTTTTGCATAGTATTTTTGGCTAACCTTCCTTAGAAGATTAGAGGGAAGACATTCGGTAGTCGTTCGCCAGTGAGAACATTTGCTTGGAAAGCACAGATGCTGAAGCATGCATGGCAAGAACGACTCTCAATACAAATCTTTTCCTAGCCGCACCACGATTCTCCCTATCTCATCTTCGTTCTCTTTTAACACAAATAGGGCACGCTTAAGAGAAGAAGTAGATTAATTTCATGGCAGAGAGTTTTTTATTTTTTATTATTATTGTTTTTTTATTCTACTTTTAATATTTGTTTTAGTCTGTTAGTGAAGACCTATTATTGTATTAATGGAGTCTTATTTTATGTTAGTGTAACAGTCATTTAGCCAAGTATTGTTAGTAGCATAATTTTAGAAAACAGATAACTTTAAATTATGAAGAAGTTATGAGCCCATGTGTTTTGAAGAAACTAAAAATGCGATGGAGTGACAAGAAACTATGAAGACAGAGATTGAGGCTTTGAATAAGAATAAAACGTGGAAATTGGTGCCTAAACTAGAGAATTGTCATCCAATAACATGCAAATAAGTGTATAAACTAAAAAGGAAAAAGGATGGCTCAGTTGACTGATTCAAGGCAAGGCTAGTTGCTAGGAGTTTTACTCAAAGTCATGGTTTTGATTATGAAGAAATTTTAACTTTGTTTTCATTTGCTGCTTATAAAGAATGGAAGTTGTGGTAATTGGATGTGAAAAACGATTTTTTGTATGGGGAGTTAAATAGAGAAATATTTATGAAGCAATTGAAAGATTTTGTGTCACAAGAGCATCCAAGTTATGTTTGTAGGCTGAAGAAAGCTCTATACGACCTTAAATAGGCCCCCTAGAGCTTGGTATGGTAAGATAGCTCAATTTTTTTTGTTTTGCGGGTTTAAGGTTTCCAATTTTGATTCTAGTTTGTTTGTTTGGAACTGGACTACATGTGGCAATTTTATTGTATGTTGATGACATACTTATCACTAGAAATAATAAAGTGGAGATTGGGAGGATTAGAGATGAGCTATCCTTGAGGTTTGAAATGAAATATTTGGGAGAGGTTTGTTGCTTCCTTGGCCTAGAAATAGAAAAGATTGTTGTAGGATATTTTGTCTCTCAAAAGAGGTATGCTATGAATTTGCTGTCATCATTTCGTATGGATGAGGCAAATGGAATAACCACTCCCATGGAGTTGCATTCCAAGTTAGAGAAGGATGAAGGCAATTTAGTACAAGATTCTACTCAATTTAGAAGATTGGTTGGTAGCTTAATATATTTGACAGTCACTAGGCCTGATTTAGCATTCTCTGTGAGTGTAATCTCTTAATTTATGCAAAATTCTAGGTACCCTCATTTAGTTGTTGCTAAGAGGGTCCTTAGATATGTGAAGGAAACCTTGAGTTTTGGTCTGTTATATTTGAAGAAAGAAGGACCCAAGTTGTTAGGGGTTCACTGATTCTGATTGGGCAGGAAATGTATCTAATAGACATTCAACTTCTGGATATTGTTTTCACTTTGGGTCTGCAGCAGTCTCTTGGTGTAGTAGGAAGCAGAGTATAATGGCCTTATCGAGTACTGAGGCAGAGTATATGATAGCCACACTAGCAGCTCAATAGTGTATTTGGTTGAAAGAATTAATGAGTGATATATGTAATAAGACTGTCAAAGAAGTTGAACTGTTTTGCGACAATGAAAGTTCCATTAAACTCGCTTCAAATCCTATGTTTCATAGAAGGACCAAACACATCAATGTGTAATATCACTTTGTTAGGGAGAAGGTTTTGGATAAAGAGATTGTTTTAAAGAAGGTTAATACAAAAGACTAGTTGGCTGATATTTTTATCAAGAGTCTTCCCAGACCTTAATTTGAACGGCTTAGGAGTTTGCTGTGCTTGGTGGAGTATGAGAGTGCACTAGGGGGAGGTAACACAAATAGCGGGCGCTTAGAAGAAGAAGCAGATCAATTCTGTGGTTGAGAGATGTTTTTTTTTATTGTTTTTTTATTCTACTTTTAATGTTTGTTTTAGTCGCTTAGTCAAGATTATGTTAGTGGAGTCCTATTTTATGTTAGTGTAATAGTCATTTGGCCAAGTATTGTTAATGGCATAATTTTAGGAAGCAGTTAACTTTAAATTAAAGTGTATAAATGAGGAAACTATTGTACACATTATTCATTCAACTTTCAATAAAAGTACAAGCAGTTTGCTCAACAAGACTGCACAGTAGTTTGCTGTCATCTTTTGTTTTATCTTTCCTCATCACGAGCTTAATAATTATTACGGTTACATCATGGTGAAAAGTAATATAAGTGAAGAGTCAAGAAAAAATACTTAGAAAAATGAAAAATGGAAGAGCAAGAGAGAGAAGAGGAGAGAAGAAGGGGGAGGGGAGAGGGATCAAACCACCATGCAAAATAAAAAAGGAGTGCTTGACAATTTGGCATAAAGGGTCTTTGGCTCTGCAGAATAAGATAAAAGTCTGGTGTCATTTAAATTGAGTGATTTGATTTTAGGTCCCTTAACATAGCCACGTTTCAATATTTGGCATTGGAAAAGTAATAAGCATTAATTGAAAAGCTTGCACCCTTCACCTGCATCATGCAATGCAATTTGAAGGATTACAATACTGGTGAGTGATCGAGAATGATGGTTGATAGCATGGAATGAAATGAAGGTGATAACAACATTTATCTCTCTTAACTCTTGCACCTTGCACATATTTTAATTAAAAAAATAACTTTTTTACATATAAATAAGTTAGGAGTATTTTTTGGGTCAGATATGGTATAATTAGTTAAGAAAATGACAACATGTATCCAATTGAATCAATCTTTTTAAATTTAAATATTAGACTCAAACTTATTCCTATCTAATCACCTACTCGATTAGTATTTTTAAGTCTTTAATTTGTGCAATTCAGGTCAAACTTTTGATTCTTGCTTATCCCTAAGCATTTGGTCAAAAATAATTTTTAATTTTTTGTATTTGATTTGCATTGGTTTGGACTTTATAGGCTTGAATCCAACCAATGTACAACCCTAGTTGTTAGTTCACAAAATAGAAAAAAAAAAATACACGAGCAGAAAGTAAGCATAGGTAAATGTAATTTTACCAGTTAAATAACTTGCATTAAAAGAATTGTTTTGGTGGTGAAAAGCTTTCTTGACGAATATCAAATACTTATAGAAACATTGGAAGATTATTTAATATGCTTCAAGTTGCTTGATGAAATAAGAAATATTAGTGCAATTAAGAGTAAATGACATTGAGTTGTTGAAAGTCTAAGTTTAGATAAATATTGTTAAAGTCAGTCAGTGAGTGATATAAAAGTAATAAAAATAAGTTTAAATATGTGATTAATTTCTATAAATATAGTATAATTTGTGATAAGTTTTTTTAATTTTTTTTTAGAATTTAGTCTCTAAAATATTAAAAAGTTAGGATTTAGTTTTTGTCGTCAACTTTCTTTTATTGAATGCTGAGCTAGCTAATAGAAAGTTGACTTAGTACCTCACATGACATGTCATGTTATTTAATTTTATAATATTTTATTATTTAAAATTATTTATAAATAAATTCTTAAATATATCTTAAATATTTGCATAAAACTCTCTTCTCTTTCTCCACCTAGGTGAACTTGGGTGAATTTTACAATGTACTTG